CACATTTACAGAACATTAAACATGCAGCATCAAAACCAAGGTGTTAGAAAACAGCATGTTATCACACAGCTAAAAACAGTATTAAAAGACATCAGAACCAAATGGAAGCTCTAAAGGCAGCCTTGCTTCTAATACATCCTAACTCCAGCGTGTTTGACTTTGAGCTTTATTATTACTTCCTGAAATCATGGGTCTTTTTTGTGATAGTTCCCCAGGTTTTGAAAGAGCACATTAAAAATACAGCAAGTTGATCACGTGCCACACAAGCAGCTATCTGGTTAATCAACTGCTTTGAGCATCTGTGATTCATCACACAGATTCCTGACACTTAGGCTAATGGAATAGCTGACAGCATTAATACGCTGTCATTTTCTATGAGGACCAACATTAAAAAGGAATAGGCATTTTGCCGGTAGGTTTTCAGATATTTATGGACTGCAGAGGATTTCAGTACATTAGCTTACACATCCAGCCTAGCAACACTGTGGACATAGTTGTTCCATCCTACCGCAGCTCATTCACCCTCCACCCTATCTCCACCCTTTCCCAGCTTTGTCCCCCTTTCTTCCCTACATACCAGTTTTTCTTTTCAGTTTTGGGAACTTCCTTTCCTCTCCCAGCCTGAAGTCAGCCTACCAGCCACCTTGTTGCAGCCTCCATCCATAGATGGCATAGATGGCTCCCGCTCAGCTCAAGTCACCATGAGAAGCTCCATGTTCTTTCTGAGGTCCTCTAGTGCAGCTTTTAGCTCTCTTGGTAAAAATTGGATGGATTCTCCTCTTCTATAGTGCCTTAGCACTTAAAAAGAAGAGGGAAGCTGCACAGCACAACAGAGACCATAAGGAGGAAAGCTCCTTGCCTTTTATTCCTGTCTATCTGAGGGCACCTGAAACCAATCATTTGTAGGTGAGGTCCTTCAGAGCCCCTGTATTCGGTAGCAGCATATGATGAGGAAGAGCAGCCTCATCAAGGCAGGTGCATGTCCTGAGAAGAGGGGAAACTTCCTACTGTAGACTCTTGGGATATATTTTCCTACTAAAACTGTGGTCTGTACTAAACTGCTTACTTTCTAGAAACAGCAAAAAGTCCCTTTGTCCCCCAGTAGCCATCCTTCCTCGTTTCCAAACGCCTGCTCCTGGTCCTGGCAACAGAACTCTGCAAGTTGAACAGTGCCAGTTGCCTTTATACCCCAAAGTGATTTCCTCTTTCCTCAAACCTCTTTGTTGAAAATGTTTCAGCCATTTAGGTTGAACTCTGTAAAATCTTCCGTCTGAGGGCAGTAACTGCCATGGGCAGAAACTGAGGGAAAGGGGCAACTTTCAGCCATGTTCTAATAAGCAGACAACAAGGCCTCTCAATAGGAAGAATCAAGGAAAAAGTGACTGTAACTGCTTATAGCTCAGTAAATGGGCTAACAAAAGGCAGTGCTGTGATGAGAATATGAATAATTTGTAGACCAGATTGGATTTTATTACTTTCTCCCACAGTTTCTCCCTAACCCCAAGGACAAGCTCTTTTTGCTGCCTTCTTGAGGTGTACCTGGGAAATGAAGGAACAAAATCATAGGTCACAGTGTTCAATGACACTTGATAATACACCACAACAGCTAAAGCAGCCAATCCTTTGGTTGTTCAGACTGCAAGGCATCCCAGAGTGTAAATAGAGCAAAATGCAAGGAGACAGTAGCATCCCCAGGACATACAGACACCACGTTCCTAACAAACCCTCGCTTCTCAGGCATGGCCAGCTGCACAACCTTAAGGCAGGATATAATCTGAGGTTGATCGGATCTAGAGCTTCCAAACTAGACCTCAAACTTCTTTGCAAAGATGTGAGCTAGGTGATACCATCCTGACTTCTCTTATGCTTGGTTGGGTCCTGACATATGCAAACATGAGGCAGGGAGGATGCGGTAACAGGGATCTTGGATAGATGGGGACCTTTATAGAGCTAGTACGAGGGAGTCAAAAGTTATGGTTTGTATAGTCAGGATGATCTACAGAAGTTTTATTCTTGTCCCATTAATAGCAAGTTAAAAATTGACCAGTGCAGCTTTCAACTTCTGGCAAAGCAGAAATAAGAAAAAAAAAATTGCAAAACCAAACAATCCCTTCTCAGAGGTGCCCAGAGCTCTGTTACCACAAAAATCATTTGACTGAACCAGATCAGCTTTAAACCAATCTGATGGATCCTGATTCCTTAATACCTTCTGCTACTTCTCCATGAACTGGAGTTTGCTGGTATAGGAACTTGAATTTGTGTTTCTGGAACAAAGATGGTGAAGTCCTTATACCTTCATAGGCATATAAAGGGGACTGTTCCTGTTTCTGATGACAGCTTCATTTTAAAGTAGTCAAGAGGAAAAGCATCCTGCATCATACAATCTCGTCATTGTGAAAAAGCCCATGTAGTTCATCCCAGAATCTAATTTAGGGAGGAAGGCATCTCCAAATTGGTGGTGTCAAAGTTAACTTTGTAGCTTTAACAATATATGCCCCAGAGCAATTTCAACCCTCCAGGGCATCCAGGATGCTTAGACTCTTATGCTCTGAACAGAGAGACAGATCAAGCCTTGATGAAGCAGTTGATGAAGCCTTGAACTGAAGCAGTTTTGTGACAGAACATCTGCAAATGTTTCTTCTGATTTAAGCCTTTCTGGTCATAAAATCCCTTGTGCTGTTTCACTCTCATTTCAGTCAACTGTACACTTTAGGTACGGTGACAGGTTTTTCCTGGATTTGTCTGGATTTGGCAGATGTTCTGGTGCCTGGGCTGGTGGCTCTGGCAGAGCGCCGAAGGGAGCAGGAGTGATCCTCTTAGACTGAACTGCCTACAGCCCTTAGTGTCCAAATGGAATTTGCCCAGAATTGCAAAGCTACAATTGCTTGTGCTGTCCTGAAAGCCATCCTGACCCTGCTTGACGCATAGACTTTGCTTCTCAGGGAGCAAAACCACTTTACTGCCATGGTGCAAGCTGCCTCGGGGACCTTTCCAAGGGGCAATCCCTAGGGTGGCTGAAGGCAGCAAAGGAGGACACAGGTTTACGGCCACCCCAGTGACTGCTCGTTCATTCTGGTGCAGACACAACCAACAGACATCATGGGATGTCTGCATGTGTGGTCAGACAGAATGCGCAAATACGTAAGGGTCATTTTGACATTAAAATTCTCTACACCGTGACGGGTAGGAATTCTTGTAAAATAGCCGTGGTGGCTTAAAAATCTTCATTTTAAATCACTTAGACAATGTCAAATTTGATTGTGAAAACTGGGATTTGTAAATGCAGACAACAACAACGCACCATCAGAGCCTATTTTCACCCCAATAGCATTGACAATTCTTCAGATCTCTGTTGATTAAATCTTTCTGCAAAAATTATCCTTTCAGATGAAATTTCTTATGCTTGATCTCAGACCAGAAAGTGAACAGTAAAAATCTGTTCAGTCATATTTATGTCATCCATGAATCACTAAATCTAATGTTGATGCTGAAGCATGTAATGTGCATGTCCACGAGGAATTTACTAGGACAATATATTTCTTGTAGTTCTGTCATTACATTGACTTTATTTTTATAGGAAAGGAAATCAGGTAAAGTAGTAATGATTCATTAGCTATAATTGAGCAAAATCCCACAACAAAACAAAGCCAAACTCCCAAAACATTGAAATTATCTCATTTATCTTAAGGAGAAAAAAAAAAGTCAAAAGCACGAAAAGCATTTTGGTCAAATTCGATGTTACAAAACATTTTTATATTTATTTAATATCATGTCCTCCTACTTTGTAGTCATACGGTATATTTTCTGAAAAAATAATATGCAAACAGATTATTGCATAACACATCTTTTCCAAATTAGCCAAGAAATATTCACTAAATTTTTTTTTTAATGCAGTAAGAAAAAAATGTTTTAATATTTTATGTTTCAATTCCAGAGAGTTTTATCACATAAGATATTCTGTGGAAAGCAGCACCTATTTACTTCTTTGTAAGCCATTATGAAGATCAAACAAGCCTCTCAGACAAAACAACAGAGGTGATTGAAACACAAGCAGAATAAAGCAGTTCACTGAGTGGGTTCTTGCAGAGTGAGTATTTCACTTGGCTGTGTGTGGAACATTTTGCATAATGGTATACAGACCTCCTAGGATTTTGCTATTACAGAATATACAGATATAGTGCCGAGACACAGAGAAGTGGTATTTCACATTATATTTATGCTTTTTTTAGGGCTCACTGTCTATGTGGAATGAGATAAAGTAATATTAAAAGAAAATAATTATTAAACAGAAAATACTTCATTATGCAAACAAAGAAAAATACTGTATTTTAGTTTAGTGACAGTTCAAGCGTATACAGCATATACATAATAAAGCTCAGGCGTTTCCTTTTTTTTTTTTTTTTTGCATTAACTAAAGAAGCAGCCATGAAACTGTTGTATATTGGCTTAAACTTGACAACCACCTAGTGCATTCTTCTTGCTCACCTTTTATAAACACACGATCTGAGATGGTTACATTGCACTGCTGGAGTTTACAATATATATTTCAAATTTACAAAAATACAGAAAAAAAAAGATTTCTTGCACTCAGATACTGAGCATTAACCCTTTGAGTACTAATTCCCACCTGCAACAGTGCAGAGCACATTCATCTGACTTGCATGTTTTTATAACATTCTAACAATTATAATTGTCATCTTTATATACACTGTTAGGAAATGCATTCCTACATATTTTTCTTTTTAAAAAAGGTAGAGTCTAATAAATTGCTTATAACAGAAATAATAAAGAGTTGAAGTCTGCAAGGATTTCTGCAAAATATACACAGAGCATCACAGATTGATGATCTCTCAAGGGATTTCTTATATTTCCTCCGCGCTCTTCAGCAATACAGCAATTACATAAGCCTGTATTAAGACATTACAATAAACTTTCTCAAGTGGCCATACAAAATTGTGCTTTTTCTCTTATTTATGGATGCACTGCTCACTTCACACTCTAGACATTTTTCCTCTCAACACTATGCTCCTATTCACTTTATGTGATCCATTATTATTCTGCATCCTTCCTTTTTGAAAAAAAGTAGCTTCATTTCATATGATTCAGTACTGTACTGTGAGTTGATGCTTTGTGTCCAGATGTTCACGGAAACATGAAAAAATTTCTTGCCAAGAGCCTTTTTAATAGAGAATGTTACTGACCCTCGAATGCCCTACAATTCAGCAGAAATCCTGAATAGAAAGAACTTCTTCAGAAGGTCAAATTTGCATTAAGGAATGAAGACAACTGAAATTTCCTAGGAGAGGAAATGTGTTTTCACATAGTAAGTGGTGAAATTTATAAAGGGAATAATTGTGTTTTTGGAAAAAAAGACTGAGCTTCCTCTTTCCTGACAACTCTGGACTACATTGATCACGTAACTAAATAGTCAATATCGTATATACTGCCTCTCTGAATTAGAATAAGCTATTTTAAAGAAAATAACTGTAGTCCTCAAAGAGTTAATGATAAAACTGCTCTACCTTAACCGATGTGGAAAGGTTATCATGAAACAGCTTACAGATTTGCTCCATACTTTACAAAGAAGTGTAGAACTTGTTGAGACGATTGCTATTACACTGCACAGTGTCACATACAATGAGTAGTGCATGCTCTGTAAAGACATTAGAGTGGACCCTTATCAAAGCTATCATATAACCTTATACAAGGATTGTGCCACTTAAACTAGTGCAGAGTGATTGTTTTCCTGTGGATTTATAATGCTCTAGATTAATATCAATAGGGTTTTTCACAGCCTTGTACAACACTTTTTTTGTTCTTTTTTTTAACACATGTAACACTAGAAAACAGCAAATGGTATATCCTGACATATGTCATGCAAAATACAACCAATACAGCACCATAGATGTAACAGAGATATTACCTAGCACTTCTCTCCAACAAGAAAAGGGACATAACAGGGACTGTACATTACATGATTTTACAGGCCATATGCTACAGAAGATCTTTAGAGGCAGTATCACTTTTGTGGATCTAAAAAGCTGTAATTTTATAAAATCCTGTTTAGCATTTCTACTATAGTCACTTCAGATTAAAATCCATGGCACAGTAATATTTTGCTACAAAAATAAATAAGTAGAAGTTTAAGATGTTGATATGTTTATAAAAAGTGTCTGAAGTTACTACAGAATAAAAAGTCAAAAGAATGAAATGACGCATTTCTAAATAAATATAGTTCTGCATAACAAAAGGATATTGCCTCTTGCATTCAGTTCTTTACACCCCTTTTTCTAATTATCTTCCAGAATGATTTTATAACTTTCTTTTAAAAATAACTTCACTTTTAAAACACTATCCCTTATCTCTCTTTTAGTGTCTCCTTATTACAGAAAGGGAAATAAAGGTGGAAAAGCTGTACAATTTGCTGATGTGCTACACAAATATGTCATCTCACGTAGCTTGGAAGCAAAACAAAGCCTTTCTATGACGATTTAGGTGGAACCAAAGACAACACGAGGACCTGGGAACTACACAGTAGTTTCATTTTTCCAAGGGCCAGTTTTGATATTTCCTGTGCTGTCCGAGCTGTATATCATGGCTTCGTGCACGTTTCCCTTGAGGATGCCGTTGGGACTCGTCGTGCCAAACGGCAACGACTGTGTCCGTGGGTGCATTTCAAAGTGAGCTGTGTGGTGCGCAGTGTCACTCTCTGGCATTTTGGCACAGCTGTATATGACAGTACTTGCGTCGCTGCTTTCGGGCTGGTTGACGGTAGGGTAGGGATCGCCCTTGGCACAGCAGGGCCGCCGGTGCCCCGGCTGCCCGTCGTGCGTGCTGTGGGGACTGTCTGTGTGCGAGCTGTGGATGCTGCCGTCAATACTTGAGGGAATGTGATAGGCATATTCCCTCTCACCTGCAGACCTATGGCGGCTAAAATAACGTGGCTTAGTTCTGCCTTTCAGGCATCTATGAATGTGCATATTGGGCCTGAAGGTGCCCTCGTTGTGGACGTGAATGTGAGCTTCGTCGTCAAGCAGCTGATCACAGTGCATTTTTGCACAGCACGGTGTCACAGGTGAAAGGCAGTTAACGTGGTTTTGAACTGCTTGCAGATTAGTCAGTTTGCAGTGGCTGGCAGCAGGGTGGTTAAACACGGCGGATTTGTTGGGACACGGTGATTCCTGAAGACAAGGTGGATGAACTTGAGTGTCACCGTTGACATTGACTTTTGGACGCACATTAACTTGGACAGAGTAGGTGTTTCTTCTAGATGGGCAGCAGGACCACCAGCAATGCCACACATCGTCTCGCTTTGCACAGTGATGGATCAGGATGAAAAGCCCCAAGGTCACACAGAACGCTCCATAAAGACAGCTAAATATCATATCCAAGAAATGGCCTTGAGAAACTGCAAGTGCTCCAAAGGTCCACGTGGCCATAAACAGGAACAAAGTGAATGCTGCGGCTCGAAGCTGAGCCTTAAATGAATGCTCATTTTCCAATAAGGAAGAAGAAATCAAGGAGCAAGTTGCTTGGGGAACGGACACAGGGTCTGTGATATGACTGTGGCTCGCCTCAGTGCTTGGCATTCTCTGCGGATCTTCTGTCCTTTCCTTCAACTCGTACTTGCGTTCAGGATGGCGCTTCAGCTGCACGTAAGTGCAGAGAAAGTAAATGCAGGTGACTAGCACAATGAATGCTACTGGCCCATAGAAAGCGCCCAGGCTAGGCTCCCATGCCATCCAGCAGCTGAAAGAACAAAAAAGGCACAGTCAAAAACTTTTTGTAGCCCATGTTTCGTATGATGGATGACAGACTGATATGAAACTGGCCTGAGTAGCTAACATATATAACCCAAAAGCGTTTCAGAGAGTCGGATGTGTTTGCTTTGGAGAAAGGGAGTGTGCCTTTAATATCAATTAAGCAGAGGCATCACTTTCACAGTTTGTAATAGAATAAAGTATCTACAATAATTTGCAGCATATTAAAGCTGAAACTTTCCGAGGAATGTAGGTCAGTTTAGAACCCAGAGCTGCACTGAAGTATAAGACCATTTCTGTCAGCCTTTGCTGGACTATTATAAATGTCAGCTCTAATACTTTGATTAAAAAGCAAATGAGGCATAGTTTAAACAATCTGCATGAGCAATAGGAATGTGCAGATTTCTGTGGTTTGTAGCCAAGAACATTCATACAAATTTTAAGCGTGGCTTTCGCCCTCACAAAGTTTTCTTGTTGCTGAAGCAAGGACTGACCCAGGTAATAAAGGGAGACTAGAAAAAAAGACTTCCAACTGAACAGAGTCATGGTTTCTAGCAGTGAGTATACCTAAAAGATATATGCAACTTCAGGGTTTTTCATAGGTTTTTAAATTCCTGTGGCTTAATTACATCCATTTGAATATCTTCAGATATTCAGTCAGCTCAGTCAGCTGCATAATTTGGTAGCAGCCTAACAGGACTGTCCTGAGGATGAATGATCTAATCAAATAAACATGGGAAAAGAGAGCACTTCTGGCTAATGAAATCCCAGTTGGAAACTGGAAGAAGTTTGTGGGGAGCTGTATATTTGCCTAGTTTTTATTCTTCTCTAGGACCCGCTTTTAGTCACTGTCAAAGACATGCCATTGTGCTAGTAGGGCTGTTATCAGCTAGCCAAATTGTTATCAGATTTTTGTGTTCTAAATTTTAATGGGTTGCTGGATAGAAAAATAAGTTATTTTCCTCATTGACTGGACTAGAACAAGAAGTAACAGGCTTAAACTTCAGCAAGAAGTTTTTCAAAAAGTTTCTTAGACGTTAGGATAATAAACTCCTGGAGCAGATTGTGTGGTATCCATTACTAAGCATTTAAAACACCTCAGATAAACAGTGGTTTGGTTATAGCTCATTTTCCCATTCTGTCAGAAGAGCAGATCAGGTGATTCGTCATGATCCATTCTGGGTTTAAAAGGGACACTGTGACACTTCATGCTCATTTAGGCAAGACTGAGTGGTTGTGGTCCTTCCAGTACAGTGAGGAACCTCCCCATGTTCTTGTCTAGCCAGGAACTACCCACCACTTAAACAAACACAAAACAAAACAACAAAAAACTGAATTAATTTATCTCCCAGGCTGAGAACCTCCCTACTAAAAAGACGCAGTCTCACTGGGTATCATCAGGAGAAACTGCGGCAGGACTACTTTCAAGTTTTTAAATCTGAACCTTAAACAAAAACATGCACACATTTACTCAGGAACTCAGAGACACTCCAAGGAGTATATATTTTGCTGTCTGACAGGCATGCCAAAGATTCCATATAGATAAGTTACAAAATATATTTAACTGGCTAAGCAGAGAGCATAAAGCTACACGAATACTTGAAGTACATTTGAATGCTGCATATTTGATGCAAAGTGGAGAACGGAACACTCCCTGGTGCAACTGTCTCTCGGGATGCTCTTATTTCAAGTGGTGTCTCATTGTGGTTCACTTCAAAAATCAGTTCCATTAGAAAAGTTCAAGCTTGTGCATCTGCATTTTTCTGTGTTAATACCATTAAAAATGAATAAGGCACATAACTGACATGCTGCTGCTGACTTTCAACTGTCTTTTCACCCAATTTTATAACCACTCAGTGCTCTGTTTTCTCTACAAACTGTGGAGCCAGATATTAACTGGCTGGTTAACATAGTTAAAGAAGTACAACCACTGCAAATGTGCCAAAATGAGAAAAGTCACACATTTAAGAACATAAATAATCAAGTCTTTTCATATACTCTTAGTTATAAGTGATTGTCTAATTGAACAAGTTTGAAAAAACATATGAATATGAGTTGGACCCTATGTGGGACAAATACAGCTAATCATGGTATCTACTAATCTGTTACCAGGTTTTAAACTTCAGTAACCTATAATAATGCTTTTAAGAGGCCAAATGCTCAGGTACAATCCACTCCACTTGGCTTCCAGCATTTTTCCTACACAAAAAATAATTAGTTTCAAATGCGTCATGAGACTTAAAAAAGCAGTAACTAAGACTACTGTGCTGCACCATGCCAGCAACAAAGAGCTGGCAGAGCACTAACATACACAACAGTATGCCAGTCACTGCCATCATTTATTTGAAATTTATTTACCTTTGCTGTCTGATTCACTTTTTACTTGGCTTTTATGGGAAGGCTTATTGCATTTAGTTGATATCTTATGTTTCATGCCAAGAACTAATAGTAACTATGCTCAGACAGCTTGCGTGGATATACATGCTAGTACACTGGAGGGCTATGTCACGATTGCTATGACTGGAACATTTCCAAGCTGGTAAAAATTCAAAATAATTTATTTTGAAGGGGGGAAAAAAGATTTTTACTTGTCATTGTTTCACATAATTGCATATTACTTTGAATAAATCACATGGCATGTATTAATTCAAGGTAGGTGCCTTAATGAACTAAAAGTATTTAATTAGAATTGCCTATTAAATATACTCTACGTAAGGTAGTTTGTAATATCCTTTCACTTATTCAAGTGTAAATGAGAAATGACTCTATAAATGAAAAGTGGCTCTATTGCCCACAGCATAGTAGACTGGGAGAGAGTCAGTGAAGAGTCAAACTCCAGATTAAGACATTGTTCTTCCATAGCTATTATTCTATAAATATTCATACTAAATCTCATCCCAAATGGCCTGTCCGTGCCCTTTATGAAGTCAGTAACGTCCATCACATTTATCAGCATAAGAAAAAGAAAATGCTTTTCTTAACAGTTTGATTATAATACTTTATACTTACTATGGTGCATTGCCTTCAATTCCGTAGTTATTGATATTGGTTGCTGCTGTAATTCCACATATAATAAAAGGAACTCCTCCACTAATCAGATAAAATCTGTTGAGAGATAACAACTGATATTTTAATTTGCCTGAATTGTAGGCTTTTTAGATGTCTCTTCTGCCATAAAATTTATTGAGTATACAATAAATATGACCCGAAACTTTAAACATATCCCTAAATCAGTAAAGCAAAAGAATGAAGGATTGTCACAATAAATATTGTCACATTACACTTTATAAACAACAGCAGATTAATATTTAATATTTATATGGATTCATTTAAATTCTTGTCACAACCTCTTGACATGCTTTCAGTAAATGTAATTACTTTTGCAGTCATACTAAGAACAAAACCTTGTTTAATGGAATATCTCAAAGTTATTCCACTCACATAAGTATTTGCACTTAATAGTAGCAAATATGAAAGTATTATAAAATTTAAAAAATCAGACAAAACTACTATTTACACTTCATTCCTAATCAGAATTTTTTCCCAGTGAAACTCTGCAATTGCAGAATCCCCTTCCTAACTCCTAGATGGCAAGTGAAATGAAGCTCAGTTAGGAGAGAAGCAGTGGTCCAGTTGGCAAAATCTCTTTTTTTTTTTTTTTTTTTTTTTTGTCCTGAACAAAAGAGCAATCTGTAATAATCAGGGTGATTAAATGCTCTTTTGTACACACCACACTTCTGTTCACTACTCAAAAATCAAGCCTCACAAATGCACTCGAATGTAAGGACCCCTAGGACCTGAGCAAGACCTCATCCAGAAAGAGCCAGGTGTTAATTTTTCTCTAACTACTTGTGTGCTGAGGCACAGAGCTTCGCACTCCTTTAACTGCTTAAATGCCGCAGAGCTACCTGGAAGCAGCAGCCATTCCAATGTGTGGCCATTAACTAGGTTAAATTAAATTCCTGGGGGACGTCTCATTCGTGCTGGAACCCTGCGTTCCTATGTCCATATTCAGCAAAATACATGATCATTATATGTTTCCATTTATATAAGTAAAACACATATTAGGCAGCATCCAACTTCTGTGGTCTCTGAGGCAGAAAGCACCAGGCACAGCACATGGCAGGCTGCAGCTCCTCCATACCCATGAGTTCAGCTGAAGCCATTAACATCCCTTCTCATTTCCCAGTTTATACTATGTTTTTCTATCAGTAGACACACTTCAGGTATTTCCAAGCCTGTACGTGCTGCAGGAAGCACTAGGAAGGGACATGGACACTGCCCAACACACTGCTTTTAGGTTATCCAGAGGACTAAAAGGAACCTTTTGACATTCAGAATAGACTTTCACCAGAATGTGGCCATGATTTTTCTAAAACAGGATGCAAACATTAGGAAATCTCACAGTCATTGCAAGATGGGGCTACAGAAACAGGGGTATAGTAAGATTAAGTAAGTTAGCATTAAACTAAACCCAATGCCAAAATTTTCTTAACCTCTTCCCCCACCTCCTTGTGGGTCAGCATTAGAGGCTGGGCCCCAGAGAATTTCATGTTAACATTTACAGTCAGCCTTTGTCCTAATGCTCTAAGCTGTAAACAGAGCAGAGAAAATCATTCCCAATGTTCATGAAAAAGCCCTTCAGCTTTTATAACTTCAGAGTCATTAAATGAATACATTTTCCTCAAACTTAGCTTATTCTGTAGAGCTCAACAAATTCCAATGAACAAGCTGCATCCTTACAAAATCCACTAATTCACTGCAGTTTAATGATTGTGCATATCTTTTGACTTGAGCATATTGAATAAGATAGCTTAATAGCTTATTATTATTTTTAACAAAGACACATTGAATGACATTTTAAAAAACTTGAGGACACGACTAGGGTAAGCAATGAGGCATAGAAAATTTAATCTCAATTTGTCCAAGAAATAATAAGGAACAGAAAAATAGAAATACAGAAGCAAAGATAGGAAACTGCTTTTCAAACTCATCTCAGTGATTACACCATAGAATTTACCTATAATGCAATCTGTAATTTTGTTTTTTTGCAAAGCAGCTACTTTTTACAAATTGCATACGTAAACTTAAATCGTATCATTATCCAAAGTCTCATACAACATATTTGGGTGTTAGATTTATCTATTTCACATTTTGAACATTCGGTAGGCTGCCATTCACTCGAATGGTAGCGCTCAGATGCTCTGGAAGCTACACAGAGCTTCAGAAACAGGGTGGTATCTAGCCAAATTCCTGTCCTCTCTCATTGCTAAAAGAAAGAAAATTCATCCTAGAAATGACATAAGGTAAAGTCAAATGGTTCTGTGTACCCGAGGTGCACTGCACTGATATCCAGCACAGTGCACTGCCTGCCCTGTCTCATTGCAAAACAAAATGTAAAATAGCAAATAGAAATGACAGCATGTACAAATGATTCTTCATTGGCGTCTTCAGGATTCTTGAGGAGCAAAGGAGAAAAATAATCTGCTGGGTAGAAAGAAATTGAATAAAATGAATGGGATTAAAATAGGATGAGCAGAAAAAAACAATCAAAGAAAATAAAAGTTAAATTCTTAAGAGTAGGGTTACATCTTCTTCTCCATGTGAGCTTATGGGCTGCCTAAACACCAATACCAGAAAGTCAGCAAAGAGAAGAAATGTTATTCAATGATGTCAAAATGGATGTTAGTAGTGAGGAAGTAGACTTGCAATTAAAAAATTTAGACCGGAATTTCCAAACATGAGCTTCTCTGCAACCATTTGTTTTTATCAATTTCTTCCCTTTTCCCACCTAGATGAGAAGATTAGTGTAAATAATTTTAAAGAAAAAGCTAAATTAGAATTAACAGGGCACAAATGAAAAGTGAAGAAAACGTAGCTAATAAACACAAACACTTCATACTCCTAGAGAACCTTTCATCTAAGGAATCAAAGTGCTTTATAACATAAATTAATTTAGCCTTGCAGCCCCCTGTGCGTTCAATAAAGATTATTATCCCCATTGTACAGATGAGAAAACAAACAAGGAGAGATTAAGTGTTCAAGGTCACATGGAAAATCTGTTGCAGAATGAGACTTCTTAAATTCCCATCTTGTGTTAAGCACAAGGCCCCTCTGAGCTGTAAATGAAGGGACTGGGCAAAACGTGGCATCCAGCCCAAAAAGCAGAGTTTGCCTCTCTATGGATTAAAGCAGAAGGGAGAAGAATACAGCTTTTCTGTGCAGGTTTCCCCAGGAACTGTGCCTTTCCAGCAGCTGCGAGCCTTGGAGACTCTGGCATTTCAGACACTTCTGGGTGGGCACATACACAGAATGCAACCACCTTCTCCACTATGGAGAAGCCTATGGTCTACACAGGGCTTCATGCTGTAACTCTTAAGCATTTAACACCTTTGACCGAAACTCAGGTCTGTCCCAAGATGCAGCACCATGCTCTCATAATCCTTCTAAGCTTTCTCTCGGTCATGTTGGTCAGATACTTATTTACTGAAAGGATCTAGAGAATAAAGGTATTTGGAAATGTCAGAACCACAGATGATTTGTCAACAGACAAACACTTGTGGTGGTCTAAGGAAAAGCAAGTTCAGGTTGGACGTATGATCTTGTCAACGTGGACACAAACAAGGCATCTAGGTCAACTGTAGGCATCAAACATGAAGAAATAAGACTTCTCATGACTGGCTATGTAGAGCTACAGACATGTGTGTACTTTACTCAGCACTCTTACTCCACCCACCAAGGTTCACTCCTCCTCATTTTCAAAAAGACTAACTCAGCAAAGGCTCTCTGGTATCCAGTGAATTCATATAGCTGCCCAGCTGCCCAAACATTTCCAATTTCTCACCAGCATTATTTGAATCATTTCTGTACCTGAATAAAGAAAAGATTTTTGCAGTTTGTTCTGAAAGTCCATAAAAAATATTTCCAGTCATTACAAAACCTATACAAGCCCTGGTTCTGGACCTGTCACTTCATGAGAGTGGAGCTGAGGAACTCCAGAGTTCATTTTCTTGGGTTTTTTTTTTTTTCATTTAACTAGTGGACTGTTACCCTGTCCACACAAAAGCAACTCAGGGCTCACAGTCAATTTCATCTACCGGTATGATGATTTTATAGCTCAAGAAAGCGAAGACCGTTACTCAATCTAGCAGTAATGCAGCTCTGTGGGCAGCAGTAAGGTGGAAAAGACCATCCAGCAGGACCACGCTGCTCGCACACATCTCCCTGTTACGAGGGAGGCAGCTAACGCTGAGGGCTTGGCTGAAGCGGAGATATCCAGACACACAGATCCTTAAAGACCCTGGGAAATCACAGAGAGGAAATAAAAGATTCTTTCTAGCTAAAAATTGATCTTGACAAGCCAGTTGATTTATATAATATTTTAAAACTGTTTTGCAGGGAACTCTGTCTGTGGGATGATGCTGGAGTGCGAAGCCAGAGCCCTGGGGAAGGGTTTCTGCAATTTGTGCCTTGTTGTTGCTGGCCACCCTGGGATATCTGAAGGATTCCCAGCAGGCTTTCACATCAACATACATTTATTTACTGAAACTCATTCCATCACATCTGTAGGGATATTGTTCTCCAAGCTAATTAGATTAAAGCTGGCCTCATATGCCCCATCGGGCCACACTCACACCTCTCGGCTGCAGTGTGGGCAGCACCTAGGGCCTGCAATTTATGCCAGGCGAGGCAGACACTCACGTGGCATGTGGCAATTCTGCACGGGGCTGGGGGGGTGAATCAAACTCACTGAACTCAGAGACCCCCATGTTCCTGCTGCAGCTGCTTGGGACCTGTATGTAGCATAATTTTTATTATACTCAATGGCATAAATAAATAAACCAAAACCAAAACCAAAAACTGCACACAGCAGCAGACACCGCTTGAGGTGATGTCCCTCTGTCTACATCATAGCGTACTATTTTGCAGCTTCCTTTCAGCAAGAACGCCTCTTGTAAGGCAAACCCTGCTGCAAAATCCTGGGAGCTATGCAGGCGATCTGACAGAGAATAATGTCAGCAAGAATGACTGCAATAGCCTCCAGGTAGCATCAATTCTGCTAACTTATCATACAGTGTATTCTTCTAAGTTTATTTCCATAAGTA